GCCGATAGGTGAACCTATCTACTCTTATTATATATATATATAGATATTTACTTGACCCCCCACCCCACTGAGTCAGGTTGTGACACAAGGTCAGTTTTTAACGTGGGGACCCGAATGTTTTCACTCGGGCCGCTGGTCCAAGCTGGTCTTAGCTGGTCATAGCTTGTCCAAGCTGGTCAGAGCTGGCCTAAAGGTAGTCATAGCCCAGAGACGAGCCCTGTGCCAGGTAAGTATCTTATTATATATATATATATATATATATATATATATATATATATATAGATAGATAGATAGATAGATAGATAGATAGATATAAATATTAGGTCAACACCGAACGGCGACAGTCTGTTTCATACTTGAACGCAATATTCAGGGCATGTGCATTGTGTTAGCTCAACTATTTATATTTATATAAATAACCAACTAAGAATGCACTCGTAAATACCAGTAATAACAACAACAAATAATAATTAAGTAATCAATAATAAACAATAAAGTTAACAAACAACACTATAAAATAGCTACAAATAACCACATTCGGTTCCAAAAATAATTCTACTCAATAGCCTCTAGAATGATATGAAATATAACCGTTACTGCCCACCAAATAACCATTAAGTTAATACAACAGAGCTTGCTACTCATAATGCACCATTAACTAGCACATATAATAGTTGAGCTAACACACAATACACATGGCCTGAAGAGTGCGTTTAAGCACGAGACAGACTGTGTTGACCTCAGTGTCCACTTTTTATACTTACATTCGTTCTATCCACTTTTACGCATAAGTATAGCATACCTTAAAACTATATATTTTCATATATATATAGATATATATATATAAGGGCAAAGAAAAGACAAGAGGAAAAACTTTTATGCTTCGTTCCTTGACGAACTTTATCTAAGCAAGTGTAGATATTTTTATTTAGTAACCTGTATTTATACACTGAAGTAATACCTTCTTTCTTAAGCCACCATATTAATGAATGACCATACAAATTCTAAAGAATTAAAAAAGTTAACTCGTTACCTTTAAAAGTTAATTAATTTAAAACAAAATAAAAGAAAATAAAAATACGTAGAAATAAATATTTAAAGAATAATTACATTAAAACAATCAATAACAGCATGAACTCATTTTCGCCCAACAATTACGTCACTTAGGGTCCACCATAGTTTACTTATCTTTCACACAGTTATTTTTAGAATATTTTAGAGCATTCTCAGTTTAGATATTTCTGAATGAGTTTGGCATCATGCATGGCATCCATATGAAAGCTTCGATCTGACGATACTATTTAAGAACATGACACAAGTTTTTAGGGTTAGGGTTTTGTAGCAACAACGACGAATGAATTAATCCCTGTATAATTGCAACAACATTCTCTAAAAGAAAAATTCGATTCAGTAATTTATACAGGTCTCTCGACTGACTTTCAGTGATCCGGAGATGCTTTCATTTTGATACCATTACTTGTCTGTTAAATCGCTAGGCCATTTCGTCCACCATCTTTCCGACTTCCTTCCTCTTCGTCTTAGATAAGTAACTTACACTTACTGATTTTTATGGCTGGTCGCTTACATAGCACATCTATAATGCTTCACTTTGATTGCGTTTCATAGTGTCTTTTGATTTCGCTCTTGGTCAGTCTTTGATTTGACGAACCTCTCTTGCATATTTTACCGTCTGACATTGTAAAATAGTTCTCTCTCCCCGTCTTTATGTCTGTCACTATATATATATATATATATATATATATATATATATATATATATATATTCTGCAGTTTACTGCTACCAGCAAACAGAAATATTTCTCCTGATGATGATGGCCATTTTTGGAAACGAGTCGAGGAATCTAAATGAAATAATAATAATAAAAAAAAAAAAAGAATATTAATCTACAACCCAGTGTGTCTGAAGATTTTAATTTTTAATTTTTTTTGTTCAATATATATATATATATATATATATATATATATATATATATATATATATATATATATATATGTATATATATATATATATATTAAAAGTAGTACTCGTTTGGAAAACCTCGAATAGCTTAACTTGTAGATATGTCAGGACAAATTGGTACCCAGGAAAAAATTGGAAATAAAGAAGAAAAAAATAAAAACATCAGAACAAGACGAAACAAATCGCCAAGTTCTTTAAGTCCTTAGTCCAAAGAAAAAAAACCAAGCGAGTAGAAAGACTAAAACGTAGAGTACTCAATATGCTAAGTAGAGCGATAAACTAAAATAAATGCTAAGGTGCCAGGCAAACCTACCTAGGTTTCACCTAAACAGATCTTCAGGGTAATCTGGCTCAAAAAGGAAATGATGGAACAATATTCATTGATAAAACCATTAAAAATATTAAAAACCAATAAGCATTAAAACCACGTGACATAAGAAAAAAACTCAAAGCCTCTATTCTAATAACCAGGCTTTTCTATGCTTACACTTATTAAGAATCCTTTTTTAGCCAGTTTACCCTGAAGATCCGTTTAGGTGAATCCTAGGTAGGTTTGCCTGCCTGGCTCCTTAGAATTTATTCTATATATATATATATATATATATATATATATATATATACAGAATTCCGTTTCAGAATTGTAGGAAAATGTTATAGATTTAAGTACTGTCACTGAAAATCATTTTTGTACAAAACCGGCTTCAAATATTTGAATGTTTGTATTCATATATATTAACGAACCAGTAATGTCGTATGAAACGCGCGGTATTCTTTGAAATTGCAGAAGATAAAAATTTTAAGAATGAATACGATCAACAATATTTTCCCTCCTTAAAATGGATATTTTAAAATTGGTCAAATATTTATTAACCAATAAGCTTGAGATTAAAAAGTCTAATTTTCGAAGCCGATATTTTGCTATATAAACCACAAATTATAGTTCGTTCTAGTCTCTCAGTGAATCTTTGACCAGGGGATTTGTTCGATCGTTTGTTACACAAACAAAACTGAAATTCTCACATTTAATTAATTACTGACATTTTTTGAATATTTATTCGACTAGATAATACAAAAATGCTTAGCGATATTGGCACATAAAAGGAAAACATACAGGCTTGTACATCCGCACACATTTTCTCTTTTTGCTATACTAACACAATTCATTCGATTCTACTGTAAAAAAAAAGATACACAAAATATTTTGTCTGTAGTTGTTCGCAAAGAATCTTTGTAATTCATTTCTTTCAATTTGAAACAAAAATAACACTCAAATAATAAAAAAAAAACTTATTGAAATTTCTAGATCCGTGTTTGAAGATTATCTTAAATGTTCCTTTCTACACGCATAAACACTATATATATATATATATATATATATATATATATATATATATATATATATATATATATATCAGGTACGTACCGTCTAGGTAGGCAAAATAGACAGTGCCTAGTCTGAATAAAATAGATCAGCAGCTACATTGTCCTTTTTTTTTGGAGCGCTCCAAAAACAATAACTCATTTTCAATAGCATTTTCGGATACAACAATACATATATTTTCGTTGTCCTCTTATTACTAAGAGAAAAAACAAGAACAACATCTATTCTATACCTGAAGATGTCTGTAGGAACAGACGAAAGCTTGTAGTAAAAATAAGAACTAATACGGCAGAAATTTATGGAAACAAGGATCAATTCATTCATAACGGATTCGGAGGTTTTTGTATATTATTTGAATTGTTTGCGATGATGGATTTCTCGCCAATTAAATCATTAACCTTTGCTTTTGTTTTGTGTGAATAATTCATGAATACATATATTTATATATATATATATATATATATATATATATATATATATATATATATATATATATATATATATATATATATATATATATATATATATATATATATACATATATTTATATATATATATATATATGTATATATATATATATATATATATATATATAAATATATATATATATATATATACATGTATATATACATATACATTTATATATATATATACATATATATATATATATATGCACACATATATTTATATACACACATACACACATATATATATATATATATATATATATATATATATATATATATATACATATATATATATATGGGATCACCTATTATACCTGTAAGTTTAATTTTGCGTAAATCGAAAAACAAAGTCACGATGTGGCAATTTTATTTTCCGTCTGTATATATACAGGAAAAGTAAAAGCTTCCAGAGTGAAAAAATTCAATTACAGTTGAAGAGTCATTGGCCATAGTTAAATGCAATTGGCAGAAAAATCAAATAAAAACTTTCCAATAATTAATAACAAAGGAAAGAATAGAAAAATGCAAAAATAATATTAAGCGAACACTAAATATGCAAGGCAAAAGCAGACGAAGCAACAATAATGAGACAAAAAAGTTAACAAACTAAGAATGGTGTTAACGCAAGAAATGCATATAGACAAGTGATCGCAGAATTCTGACTTTAAGACAAAAATGGACAAAAATATGGCGGATGAGGCTGAGATTTATTTGTTATGAAAAACTCCCAACATTTATTTGTACGTATTGTGTATAAATTTGGTGTTGGCTTGCAGTCATTCCTTTATTAGACTGGAACTAACAACTACAATTTCCAGTCTGATTTATCTCCTAATATGTAAGTTGCTCAAAACAATAATTTCGAATCACTATAAAAGAGATCATATTCAGATTCAAAACTTTTGGAGCACGTCTCTTATACATTACTCGTGCGGATGATGATGATTTTTTTTTTTTTTTTTTTAGCGAAATGATGGGTGCTACTGCCCGACGTGGAACGCAGACAATGAAATGTTCTAAAAATGAAACTTTTTCGGGAGGATAATAGTATTTTCCTTTCTGCTGGTTGTAACGTGAATAAATAGGTTTAGAATTCTTCATTTCAAATATAACCGTAACTTTGTGTTGCGTTCACCGTCTTGTAATGTACCGCCCCTCATCCAACACCTCACTCCGCCTCGGGCAGAGAAGAAGGAGGTGTGGAAAGAAGCGATGTCGGCGTTGGTGTTTCGGTTTCAAGGTTGTACCGTTCTTTGTGAAAGGCACCTGCAAGCATAAATATACCTTATAAGCAACTTACGTAAATTAAAGGAAAGAAAAAAAAAAACCAAACAACCTTCAAATGTAGTCACATTTCCTATTTTTACATACCCAAACATTTGAAGATCGTTGCAGTATTTATGTATGAATTACACACACACACACACACACACACACACACAAACACAAACACAAAGAAAAGAAAAAACTATAGTTAGTGAATACAAACAATTAATGGTTAGTGGCTGGGATTAAAGAAATGGGGTACCGAGTTCGAATTCCAGTCGAGTTCGTTGCATTTTCATACGTGGTGTTACCCTTGGGAAAGGTACGAATCCAGGGTAAATTTATGGGTAAATAGCAGAACAGACTGTGTGTCAACAGCTCTAGAAGATGGAAAACTCCGAATTCAAACCAGAGGAGGGTCGTTTGGGGACCTTGTAGCACGCGGAGCCCCAGTTGTCTTGTAAAAAGTGTAATCGGTTCTTCGCTACTATAATCAAATCATATGTGAGGGTATTTTGGCTGTTCGATTATAAGAACTCGACTGTTAGAACCTCATACGCTGAAAAGAACGGGGGAGTCCATATATATATATATATATATATATATATATATATAAAGACATGTCTCATTGAATAATTTAAAGAAGTTTTGTTGTCTACTTATTTTCAATAGCATCCTCTCATATTCACCTGTTAGGTAGTACCTGTTAGGGTCCCAGCTATGGGCAAATATCTAACCCCCTAAATTGGGGGTAAAACACTATAAAAGTGAAAAAAATAGGTTTTAATACCAGAAATACTTTTTGTAAAAAATTATTACCAGCAATAATGAATTGCTGATAATAATCTTTGAAAAACAATGTTACCAGCAATAGATTTTTTGAAGATAAAATATTACCAGCAATAGATTTTTTAAGAAAAAAATATTACCAGAAATACATTTTTGGAAAAAAAATATTACCAGCAATAGAAATTTTGTCGGCATTAAATAATTCATTGAGGTTGATATGCCGTAAAACAAACTAAACCAAACCATACTTTCCTTAATGAGTAAAGGTTCTCATTGATTCGTTACATTTTTATTTTATCTCTTCATAATGAAGGTAAATTGATTGATATAAGATTTTCCTTACCTTTCTGTGACACCATCACCAATTAAAGTTTATCATGATTCTAAAGCTAAATGGATAGCTATCCAAGACTCAGAGACATATTTACCCTCGGAGACTAGCGGTATCTCGCTCAAAGCGCCACGGTACCAACCCAGGTATTTCTATGTCACCACGCTATTATTATTTGAAAAAAAAAATGACCTGAATTTGTTTTATAATCTAAAGCAGGGTCATAACCAATCACCCTGGGAAAGCAAATGATGTGATTTTTTTTTGTTTCCAGTTAATTAAAAAGACAGTTATTAAGAAAAAAAAAAAGAATGAAAAAACTTAAATAGACAAAGCTCTTCGCAGGATATGGGCAGTGCTTGCTAGAAATCTTTTTTTCATTTCCTGGAGAGATGGCGCGCCGTGGATTTTGTTGATTTGTTTTTGAGTTCCATTCTTTATAAGACCCAAAGCTCCAACCACAACAGGAAGAGTTTTAGTTTTTAAGTGCTACATTTTTTCATTTCCAGGTCTTTATATTTGCTTAGATTTTCAAAAACCTTCACAGAGATGGACAGCAAAGTTTTGCACTCAAAGTGCTAACAGATGAGTAATTTATGCGAGTGGCTAAATATTCAAAAATTGTGGAAGTTTTAAAATTAATAATTTCTTTATGCAAAATGTTGAAGTTTTCAGATTCTTGAAACCACTGAAAGGTAATCCATAAAATATTACTATCTATTAAAACTTTATTTACATGGAGAGAATTTTGTATAAGATACGTGAGGAATCCATGAGTGTGAATTTTTGTGATTCACTTGTATTGGGATGCCAGAAATTTAGGTTTTATATTTGTTTGCATCTTTCGACCTCATTCTCAATAATCCAATGAATGCTTGTGTGGTGATTTTGAAAATGCTCCATTTTGCCAATTTCTATTTTAAGATAAAATTATTATTATTATTTTAATTTTTTTCTTTGATTTCTGTTGTATACACATTTCCTTCCGGAACCCAACCAGAGATCTAAGATCAGAAATGGCATCATGACATCTTCCACTAATAATAAATGAAGAATACAAAAAGAATGAAAACCAAAGATCCCACACATTTTACATAGAGAAAGCTCTTCGTAATGTGTCTGCTGTATTTGTGAGTATAATGTCTTGTATTTCTTTAAGACATGGGCTACGAGTTATTCCCTTCAATGAGTCTCTGGGAACTTTTTCCAATTAAACCAACAGTTCCAACCACAACTGGAATTATTGATGTTCTCATATATCAAATTTTTGAGATTTCCACTCCAAGATGCTTGTATTTTGATATATATATTTTTTAAAGATCTTCAAAGCTACATTACAATCTGCAATGACTTCTATGTCAATAACAAAGCACATTCTGTTTTTGTGGTCTTTGATCGCGATGTCTGGGCGATTAACTTTGATTACTCTGTGTGTATTGTATAATTCCCATAAAATTGTTACAGGTCCTATTTCTGCAATCGGGTTTGGGTGATATTCATACCAGTTTCTTGCAGATTCCATACCATAAAATTTGCATATTTTCCAATGCAGATTCTATCATGCCGAATTTTATATTCAGTGGGTGCCAACACATTACAACCAACTACAAGATGGTCAATCGGTTGTGAATATTTGTCACAGAATTTACATTTCGGATAAACACAATTTTTCACTATGTATGCTTGATAATTTTCTAGTTAACAAGCATTGGTCCTGGGCATCAAGAATAAAAATATCGGTTTCAGCTTTTATCCATGCTCTATTATTATTATTATTATTATTACTATTATTATTACTATTACTATTATTATTATTACTATCATTATTATTACTATTACTATTATTATTATTACTATTATCATTATTACTATTATTATTATTACTATTATCATTATTACTATTATTATTATTACTATTATCATTATTATTATTATGCTTACTATTATTATTATTACTATTATTATTATTATTACTATTATTATTAATAATATTATTATCATTATTGTTGTTGTTATTATTTCATTTGATTTCTGGTGTATACACATTTCTTTCCGTGTCCCAATCAGAAAACTAAGCTCAGGAATGGTTTCATGACATTTTCCACTTGGTATTTTTTACACACCCCCCGCAAAAAAAAAACTATGGTCACACACATTTTACATAGATAAAAATCTTCGTAAAGTGTGAGCTGTACTTGTGAGTACAAGAGTTTTTGTATTTCTATAAGGCTTGGACTAACAAGAATCGTTTTACAGAGTCTACTGGAACCTTTTCCAATTAATCCGAGGGTTACGACTACAACTGGAATTGCTAATGACCTCATGTGCCACATTTTTGAGATTTCGATTACAAGAAGGATATCATGATGATTATCATCATCATCATCATCATCATCATCAAATATAAATATTCCTTTTTATTACATTTTAACTGGACATACATGTTCCTATTATATTTTAAAATATTATCACCAAACCACTGAATTTTTATGAGCGTGAAAGAAAGAAGGCATCGATTGACGAGGGAAAAGGCAACTAGTTCGATAAAAAAAATAAACAAAAAAGATACAAGTATCAAACTTTGTAAATACAGAAATGGCAAATGAAATTGAGCTCAGTGTTCCCGCCATTTTTGACGCGTACTATGCTAATTTCATAAATAAAGAAGAAATTCGTTCATCGAAAGTCCTTTCATCAAAGAGCGGGATTAACATGCTTGTACACCTCCCGTTTAATTATTGTTAAAAGCTGAGAAACCAGTTAACACATTTTCTCTTCTTTCCCGGGTGCACAATACATCCACACGCATATATACAGTGTCCCAAAAGTCACGTTTCAATAGGAAGAAAACGTACACTAAAACCAGAGAAAATTTGCATCATTTGCATCTTCGATAATTAGACAAAAAATTGCAAATAATATATTGCCACATACAGAAACATTATTTCATTTGTTAAATCTATATATAAAATTCTGTGACTTCTGTCTGTCTGTCCGTCATACTCTTTAAAATATCCATACATTAAGCGATACAGTTGGGTTTACTAGGTTGCGTACTTTAGAACAATAAATTTTCATTAATTCTTTTGAGAAATTAAGTTTTATCATTTAGCATACAAAATACTCTCACTATTTTAAGAACAAATTAATGATTAAAATAGATATTTATTTGATAAAAATGCAATATCGTTTTTTTACATATCTTTTCTTTAAGTTTTTATATATACAAGAATCAGGTTTGCTGTTCACGCTACGTATACGAGAATTATAAACAAATCACAAGGTCAAACGCTCCCAAAAGTTAGAATTTGGATGCAGAAAGAAATATTTATCCATGGCCAGTTGTATCTTGCATGCTCAAGAGTAAGAAATCCTAAGAATTTATTCTTCTCTGGAAAAAAAGAAATTTTCTTAAAACATTTTGTTTATCATGAAGTCTTATAAAATAAAATTAAATTAAAGAAATTATTAAACCGGGAAGTAGGTTTTTTGCCAAAGTATTTTCCCAAAGAAACCGGCTTATTCAAAATTCATCGATTGTTTTGCGAAATGGAAGGAAACGTAGAGTTTGTAAATCTCGACAAAAAATGATAGCGATAACTAAGGATTTCAACACGTATCAGCGTGTTGCAAAAAAAATATAGTAAATATAAAATCTACACCGTTTTTCAATGATAGTGTTCCTTTTGCGATACCCTGTATGTATATACGAATTTATATACGTCGTTTCAGGAGGATTAAATGCAAAAAAAGAAAAAAAGAAAAAGGATTTAGAATTAGGGAGGTAGCAATAAGTGTAGCAAAGTAATCGTTTAAAGGAAAAAAAAAACCTTTCTCAGTTGCTAAACAGAATCAACTCTAATATATTTTATAATTATTTTCGCTAAATA